TATCGAACGTGAAACACTGTCTTAAGGCTCAATGGTCAGCAAGGTTTGCCATAGCATTTCTCTAATGTAACCGCAGAAAAAGTCTTATTATTGTACTAGATGGCGTCCTCCAGTCCCGCCCGGGAATGGGCTCAAATAGGCGCCTTAAAGGGGCTGCTTGGTCCAAAACGCATTGAGACTTACCATCCTTTCTCCATATCATTGTGTTGTTTCTCTTGCTGACTGTAAAATACCGGATCTCTAGTGCCGAAAAATATAAATGAACTTTACCGCTCGCTAACATGACTATGGGTAAATGATCCAGCAATGTTTGGTGAACTTTCATCCCCTATATGTAAGTAAACAAATCAACAAATCGATATAAAGACCCAGCATCGCCGCAAAAAGTAGCCTATCTTTTGCGCCGTGGCTTGTTTTTAGGGAGAGAGAATTTCAGCCTCTTCGGCAAACATACAAAGGAGTCTATAATCCACGAACAACCTAACAGACAAAGTTAAACTGTTCGAGTTTTACATGTGTACATTCCCTCATGAGATAACATAAGAGTTATCAATGACGATATCGCTTGATTTCATTCTCCCATTTCTTCCTCACTTCGTAGTACAACCGTAACGCAACCCTGGCGTCAACAATCTGAAAAGAAAAAGGTTCAAAACAAATGAGATATCCGATATTTTGAAGCAAGTGTTCGAGTAAGGTGAGTTAGGCCCTGTGCGGATTTCCAATAAAAGTGCTTTCCTATAACTACCACTGCTCGATGGGCAGCAAAACATCAGCTGGGCTTGAAATCCACCTCGGGAAAAGGGTAGCCCCGCAAATCCCGGCGTTGTCCATCAAGTATAAACGCGAGCATGGGTTAAGGAGAACGAGTCTTTGACAGCAAATTTAGGCAACACTATCCAGAACTGTACAAATGTCCACACCCAAGATGCTTGAAAACTTACATCGATTTGGGGCGATAAAAAAAAAACAGGGATAGGCCACATAAGTTGTGAAGTTCCGCCATAAAGTGAAAAGGATTGGCCCTCAG